AATTCTGTCACTCATGCATGCTTAGATTTTGTCTGTTCGTACACAGGTACCGTGAATGAGCCCAGAGTTGTCAAAATGCTTTTTAGTGTAATGATAAAGTATTTTTATTATTTCATAGTTCAACTTTTCACAGTTTTTTTTCTATCAGTTCATTAAATGACCGTTCTTTGGAAACTCCTTTTATTGAGCTCAATTTAACTGCACTTTGATGCTCCATTAGTCATCCATTGAGCACTAAGGTTGGTATTTCACTTGATCACAAAAAACTTGATTTCCAAAATTTAATCACAACATAAAGTGTGCTATGGTATTTGGTCCATTGTCTATTTCGTTGATTGTTGACAAAGGAGATACTTTGGGAACCCCACCGAATTATCTTAGAAATCGTGATCAACCCCAACAGCTAAAAGGCAACACCAACTGAGAAGGAGTAAGTGGACCTGGAGTTGGGGTTGGGGTGGAGGGAGGTGTTTGGGGCAGTGTGGAATGAATGTGAGGAGAATAGGAAAATGAATATGAGGGAGAGAGGGTGGGCTGGGTGCTGAGGGAGGATACTGCGGATTGTGGGGAACGGAATAGAGCGGGGATAGGTCAGCCGACTTACTTTGAGTCATTGGTTCAATGAAGGTTGGGTGAGAGGTATAAGTCTGGAGTTGCACGATAACTAGTGAGGTTCAGATGGCCCTTTTTTACTACGTGTGCAAGTGTTAGAGAGAAGGTGGTTTTGGTGAGAGTAATTGTAAAGCAACTATCAAAGTTGAATTGGACATATAAATACGCAAAATCGCCCCAATCTCTAATATAATTTATTAAACACAATGTGCTGATTTTGGACTTTAGGAAAATTGTTCTGAGGAGAGTTGAAATGAGCGTCATCATTTATAGAAGTCCCACAAACGAAGATAGAAGGGAAGTAGTTGGTAAAAGCAAACATAGTCAATATCCATACCACTTAATGACGAATTGAAACTAATCTCAAACGTACCACAAGGTGGCAATAAAGAAGTTTGATTCCAGAAATGTGGGAACTCAGGTGTCATTGGTCAACAAACCACTGCTTATATTTAATCATGTCTAATTAATTACATGGTTAAGATATACACATTTTTGAAACGCGATAAGATTGAATAAAATGGAAATAATGGTAATATATTTAATTTAAAAGAAAAGTAAAAAATTGAATAGCAGGCCATATGATGCATTCTTCAACAGAGGAAGAATAAAAATGAATCTAAGAAAAAAGAGAAACAGAGTTGAATTAAGCGAGTCCAAGTGGGGTAGAAAGATATCCACACGGAAAGATAAGCTGCCGAGATAAATGTCTTATTTAGTCTTTGGCTCCAAAATATGTCCCATGAAGACAGGCAGACCAGTCTGAGAGGTGATAAAGAAGAAGAAAGGATGATCAATAAGAAACATCTTTGGCAATATCGCACATTTCCTCATCATCTTAACAGCAGTGGCAGCAGCAGCTTCAGCTCCTTCTTCATCAACCTGAATCAAAAATAGTTTCAATAACAACAAGAGAATTCACCTCAATCATAGCCTGATGATAGACGTCAGAAACAAAGAGTGACCTGTCTCCAGT